TTAGTGTAGACGAGTTGGGAGTAGGCGAAATGGGTATAGACCAACTGGGAGTTTTGCTATATAGACGAAATGAAACCGCGCGACAGCCGCCCACCCTCCTGGTGCCGGAATCCGGCCTCCCTCGGCCAAGCAGTGGCAGATTTTGATACGCACTTACCGTATATCACTGAGCGCTGGTACTCCAACTTATGACGTCGGTTTAAATATGTACAAAAACGATGCAAGCACGATCTCGATGCGTTCGCCTTCTTCGCTCGGACATACAGCTTCACACGTCGTGGGAGGATGGCTGAGGCATCACACGCTGCAGTCACTTCTTTCTGCTGTGGAATACTGCTGCGCCGATACTGCAAACCCTAACCCTAATCCAAAACCTAACACTAACACTGCTGTGCCGATACTGCAAACCCTAACCTTAATCCAAAACCCACACAACAGTGACACAACACAGTCACACCCACACACACATGCACACACAACAGCCCAGTGACACACACACACACCACACACGCTATGCACACAAAGAGGAACACCAAGTGGTTGGACAAAGTGGCGGCAGATAGGTCTCGGCGCAGTGCGCGTAAAAAAGCAGTCCCTCACGGAGGAGGACGCCGCAGAGCCGTAGATGCGATGAAGGGGTTTCACGAAGCTTAGTATCCAGTGGGGTGGGGTTGCGTGAAAGCGTTGGGAGGACCCCATGGGTCCGTGCGAGAGGCGGAGATGAGTCCATGGGACTTGTGATAGTAACTGCGACCCACAGTGCCATTAATAACGCACCACCACATAGCACAAACACACACATGCAACACAACAACACACACACACAGCACAGCGACACCACACACACACACACACCACGATGCACACACACACGACACACAACACACACACACACAGCACACACAGTCACACACAGTCCACACACACCAACACACACAAGCGCAGCAGCCCACGAACATTCAGCCACAATGCCAGGCACACACCACGCGACACACACACACAGTACACAACACACACCACACACACACACACACACCAGCAACACACACTGTGACACAACTACACACACACATAACACGCACTAACTACACACACAACACACAACACACACACAAGACCACACACACACACTCACACACACACATCACATCAACCTGAACTGCGAATCTTGTCCCTTTTCTTAATCTAAATGCTATAATGTAATACCAACCTATTAGCAACCCCAAAGGCAGGTGGGCAGATTTATAGTATGTTCAATATAACATACAATTTTAACTACTAGCAAAGACCGTTTCCTTGGGAGGGTAGCTGCCACGACGACACATGGGTCACCACACACCACACACACAACCACCCGACACTACATCCGAGACACAGTTCACACGCACACTTCTTCAACACAAACCAACAACAACACAACACACACCACCATCACGGCACACACCCAACAATGCAGACACCAACACAACACCCAAAACAAAACACGAACCATAGAGCTAAACCGGGTTGCAGCCAGCACCCACACACCACAACACACACACACACCACAACAAACAACACACACACACTACACACACCCTCACCACACACCCACACAACGCATAGCGGCCACACACACACACACCACACGACACACAACACCCACGGGGGCACACACACAACACCACACACAACATACACACACACACACCGGCGGCCTAGTGGGCACAGCGACTCGAAAGTCGTAGGCGAGGCAGCTGTCAGGCCGGGCGCACACACCCACAATCGAGTCTGTGACACACAACAACAACACACACAACACGCGCACAACAACACACGACACACACACACACACACAACACACACAACCACACCACTACACCTGAAACTCGATCTTGTCTTTATCTACATCTCTGAATGTACATAACAACCGCTATTAGCAAAACCCAAAAGGGCAGGGGGCAGATTCCCCGCCGTGAGCCTCAGTCGCCAGGGAGGGAAGACTTGTGCGCGCGTAATAACATGCTTACATAAAACAGATTGCTGGCGTTTCAATCAATAGGCTGCTCTCACGGCGCTCATTAGGGTCTATGTCCCCAGAGGTTACTCGCCGGCACGTTACCCTGGGTACTGGTCCGGTATAACCAAGGAAGCGTCACCTGAATCGAACTATCCTAGCTGAGATATCGGTTATGCGTTAGGGTTAGGGTTATGTTAGAGTTAGGGTTAGAGTTAGGGTTAGGTTATGGTTAGCAGTTGGAGTTAGAGTTAAGGGTTAAGGGTTAGGGTTCAGGGAGTAGGCGTAGCGACTCCCTAAGACTCGTTGTAGTGGAGTAGGCAGGTACTACTGGCATATTAGATAGTCAGTGATTTAGTTACCAGGTACGTTCGTCCGTATACCGGCCCAGTAAGCCCAGGGTAGCGGCTACGGCAGTACGCTGGAGCACAGACCCTATCAGCCTCAAGGCATCTTTGCATGTGTGGCCTAAAGGAAAGATCGCGACGCACGCGGCGTTTGCATTCGTCAAACAGAAGAGGACGGAACGAAAGATAAGGATAAGGGCGTCACGTTTACTCACCGTCGCGATAGTTAGAACGTCAGCAGTCCAGATGACCGCAGGTCCGCCCTACTAAGCTATAGACACTGCTGAGCACGAAAACGGTTACGCTCACACGGTAGAGGAACTTGGCAACGGGAGCTGCAAGTGCAAACCACGCTTGACATTTTCGTGCTTCCGATCATTTCTTCTTGCAAGGCAAGTCGCGCCCTAGCGTTTCTCATCACATATCTGTGACACGTCATGTCCGATAGAAGTATAGAGAAACGCTAGACCGACTGCTGCAAGAATATCGTATCAGACAGCACGATGTAAAAGCCGGCACGCTTGAGCAGTCCTATCGCTACGGTCGGATTGATCCTAACTTCATTTTCTATCCTCCTTCTTCTTCGCTCGTTGCTCAATCACATTTCTTCCCTTCTTCTTGTACTTCACACTCTGAGAATCTAATTCTTCTGGGCTTCTTTCTTCTTCTTCTTCTTCTTTCTTCTTCTTCCCTGCCTCTTCACTCTTTTTTCCTCGTTTTCGCTTCTTTCAATCGTATCATTAAGCCTTTTTTCCTTCTCCTTCATTCTATTTTCTTTCTAACTAATATTCAACAAATATCAATTCGCATTCAATTGATATGAACGCGGTAAATCACGCAAGCGATGTTGAAACCCAATAATCCTACTCCAGGATCATAGTTCTATAAGCATGAGACGCACACCACACCCGAGCACAACACGCTGACACGTGGAGCTTAAAAACCGGCTCGTTTCCGCCCTAGCGATGACATTCTGTACGAGCAATGTGTGCGGATTCTATTAACGTAACACTAAAAACACATCTGCCTCCGCACTGAGCATGATTCAGACTGAAACAAGGCCGAATACGTTTGCAACCTTCGCTCAACGCGATCTATCAGCCTGACCGATATACGCTTTTCGGCTAAGCGTGTTGTGCTCAATCAGTTTCTGCGCTACCCCACAGCAGCACTACACCCCCGACCACACTGACCGACTCTCCAATCAATATCCCTACATCAACAAATCACCTCACAATACACAAAAACTGGGCCGAATACGCAGTATATTGGATGTCACCATAGTGACACCGCAGGCAGCCACCTGCTACCGACAGTGTAATGTCTGTATTGTTTTGGCTTCACAACTGAGTGTGAATAGGTGTTCGGGTGGCCGCTGTGATCGTGATTGCTCGGCCGAGCACAAAACGCCGAAAGCGAACCTCAAACCGAAAAAAACCCAAACCCGAGGGAAACCGCCCCAAGCAACACATCGGAAACAATCAATAAATTTTTCGCCTCTCTTGAACTACGGTTGTGTCGCGTTGCCCGCTGCATCCGAGTAAATGAAGCAACTCCTCGCCGTATACCTATAGGCCTACGTACTGCCGTGCATCGAAAGAAGACGTATCCGTCAAATGCTGATCAAATATTAAACAATTATAACAAATTATACCTGACCTCAAACCTCGAGGGTATATATGCAGGCTAAAGTGAGCTTACTAGTACTTGTATACGCGCTGTTGTGAATTAGGCTAATATAGTGTATTCGTTGTCCATCTTTCTACGAATACTTGTACATGCTATCTTTTGCTGAGACACGTGGTCATTTAGTCGCCTTAATTGAAAGGTGTCTGGTGACTATTATAATGGGTTCATCAGAAGTGTAATGGCGTCGCCAATTTACTTCTCAATGTACGGATGCATCGATGACGATCTCACTGTATTCATCTAAAGATGAGTATCATCAACAATCATATGTGTGTTGTGGTGTGTTGTTGCTGTGTGTGTTAGTGATAATATAAGTTGTGTTGTTATATATCTGACTAGTGGTATGTTGTCATCTCTGTCTACAAAATCTCTATTTGCTTCTGTGCAACAATGTCAGCGAAGACAATACAATGAGATTCCTTCAAGCAATCTACGCCTAACGCGTGGGCTTTGAGAAAAACTGGTTGTGTTTTATTTCAAATTATTCGCCGATATTTTCACCAACTATCGTCCATTTGAGCTCAGTTTCGCGCCGACCATTGGCCAAATAAGTATCCGCCAATAGGATTACATCGAGACATTATATGCGTTCATGTATATACACACCAGTATCGAGACACGGGAGATTCTCACGATTGATGATCCTTGAATTTCGCCCATTGTTCCTACATTTCGGCCAGTTTTCGCGACGTGCCAGTTCCCATGTGTCGTCCAGTGGTTTTGCCTCAGCGTGTCGCCAAGTTTGTCTCATTCCTCGCAGGGGTCGCCGGATTTCGTCGCTTAGTTTTCGCCCGTATCACCCCTGTGGTTCGAGTGGTAAAAAGTAGGCCTCTGTAATTGGAACTAAAAACCTATAAGAGAGTGCTGTTAGAGTGGTGGAGTCAACTATTTTAATTTGAGAACAGAAGCGAAATTCGTACACTATCAAAACAGTATGGAATCATAGTACAGGCGGTAGCCTTGTGCAACCAACTTATTTACCCTAACCTTAGCCCTAGCCTATACCCTTATACTCTTACGAATGAATGACTCAATTGTTTTTTGAAGAAATGAGGAAGGTAAATCAAGTTTTGTTGTGCAGGGGGGGGGGGGGAGTGGGGGGTGGTGGTCCGGGCGGGTTTGGGGGATCCTGGTTGGAAGCGAGAGAAGGGAAGAGGGAGAGAGAGGATATGACGTGTACCACGGCGAGCGCTGGAGCGGGTCCCACTACGATCAACGCGGGAAGGCAACACGCGCACAGCGGAGAGAGAGTTGAGATGCAGTGATTGCATTGCAGTCTGTAGGAGCGGGGAGCGACGCGTGAGCAGCGTGGAGAGAGCGGGAGGGTGGCGATGGAGAGTGCGCGCGCATGCGCGAGCGCGAGGCGGGGCAGGAA